CGCTATAAGGATACTCAATATAAGGATATCCTCAACATAAGGATGCTACCTTAGGATCCCAATAAAAATTAGCCCCGAGCTAAGGATATCCTTACTATCCGTTCCGCTGCGGCCAGCCTTGGGTTTTTCGGACCGGAATAACTGTTTTTCCGGAGGAACACCAAAATCACGCTTCATTATTTACATGTAAATAAACCATTTAATTGATCAATTGCACCACAACCACAATGCCAGAAGATACTGTCTTCGATTCTACCGATAAAGGGACCCTCCGGCCCAACGAAAATCCACTGCGCAATCAAGGGGACTCATTCAAGCCTATGCAATTACCTGATTGGGACTAGGAAATCAACCTACCAAATAACGTCTCTCCTGATAATCCAATTACTTTATTCACTTTATATTATATACCAGAAATCGTCAATTTGATAGTTAAGAAGACAAATAGCTATCTGCGAGAGCCTCAGGACGATTCGTGCCCTCGTACAAGAGCAAAGGAGTGGTATCCAACCTCTCGCGGCGAGATTTATATCTATTTTGCAATTCGTATTTATATGACCTTATATATAGATAATGAGATCGCAAACTATTAGAATACAAGGGATTTTGTCCTATCGCACCCAATTACAAGCTATATAAGCAGGGACAGGTTCCAGGAGCTTCATATACGTGTGCGATTCCATGGAAATCAGGAACAAGGCCCATACGAGAAGGTAACCCCCATTTTCCTGTTTATTTTACTCGAAACTAGCTAATAAATTACCGAGCAGGTTAAAGCCTTAAGTACATACATCCAAGGGGTTAATTTAAGGGTTTGGAAGCCTGGACGTGACTTGGCAGTAGACGAGATAATCGTACGATTTGAAGGTCGATCAAAGGAGATAACTACTGTTCCAAATAAGCCCATACCTACTGGATATAAGGTTTGGGGGGCAGCCCAGAGAGGGTTCTTACTCGTATGGAACTGGCATATTCCTGGTCAAAAAAATGGGCCTGTGGGAGTACGTACTCCAAGGGAGCTTGGTGGAATGATTAAGGCCGGAAATGGAGGAAATATGTCACGTGCTGCGCACAGGCGTATATATAGTGTTGAACTAGCTAAAGCAATATAGCTAGGGTCACGTGCTTGCAATGTAAACCAAGTAAACGATACTGAATTGACTGCTGTTCTACAGTGGTAAGTAGCCCGTATATATAGCCCTGAACCCCCTAAGTCACATGTACTAAATCCCTATGCCAGCTGAACCGATTACAGCTATACAGGGTATTCCAGCCGTACAGGGTATTCCAGCTGGACAGGGTATTAAGCTAGTGCACAGCCCCATGGCGTTCGGTTCCAGGGCTTACTAAGCCTATTAGGGGCCTCAGGCCCCTAATTTCAACATATAGCTTCTTTACCGCCATTAGGGCACCATCATTCATACATATATTTACACAAACACATACATTTCCACTTCCACAGCTTGTCCAGGCCGTGACATGGTAGCAATGCCCTAAGATTTCGACCTCCATATCGATACCTTATTACGAGCTCTTAATTGAGTCCTCGACCCATATACATGCCATCCTCCAGAATGGCCCCCATCCCCAAAAACCCCCAGTCAAAAGGCAAAACCCTTACCAGGCAAGCCTCTGACGAAGACGAAGACGAAGACGAAGAACCCTCTGCTTCTCTTTCAACACAGACCCCTCAGCGATTTCATCGAAAGAATGGCTTTAACGATACCGAATTACAACAGATTGCACACCTCCTTTAACAAATGAACTTGCAAGAGACCCCGGCTCCTGCTGCCTCTCCTGCTCGTCCCTTACCAATATCGAACCCTCCTCCCTCCTCTCGCTTGCGCGCCGCAGATATTGGTTATTTTGATCCTGAAGGCACGGATATAACAGGAAAGACTGTGATTTATACGGACGTTTTCGCATTTACGGATATGCTCTTGCATTTGGCAGAGACTCAGCACGACGATATTCGCACGGCCTTCCCCCTTTGCCTTCGTGGCACCGCTCTCTTTTGGTACTCGACAGAGCTTACACCCCTGGAACGCTCTCTCCTGTCGTCCGCTCCAGTTTCTACACTTTGCACTTCTCTTATTTCACGATTCAAGGAACGTCCTGGTATCGCTTTACGTGCTTTGATTTCCTCTCGGTTTACCTTCTCTGATATTCGCTCTGGCAAGACTATACGTACACACGTCCAAGAGATGCTTCGATTCGCTCGTTCTTCTGGTTTTGAGTCTGAGTTTAATACTCTTCTCTTAATACACAATTCCCTCGATACTTCTTTACGTGGCCATATTGACGAACCAACGGAGACAACTACCCTCGGCCAGTTCTTGACTGCAATTGACGCAAAATGGAGCCTCTGGCTAGATATGGCTCACCGAGCTCCCTGGCCAAGACAAAATCAGAATCAGAATCAGAATCTCCTTCCTGGCCTTCCTGAACCTCCTGTTAATACCACTTAACCTCTGAATTCAGCTCCACAGGACTCCCCAGCCACACGAGATTACTATCGCAAGCCTTATAGGGCAAGAGCTTACCAGGTTGAAGCAGAGGAGGAGACGTATACCCCTAGCTCTAGTGGTCCTAGTGCGGCAAATCTGTGGTATCAGAACTTTGTTGAGCAGGAGGAGAAGAGGGTTGAGGAGCTAGTTCAGGGCGTGGGCTAGGCTCAAACGGGGACGTTTCCTTTCCTTTTTGAGGGGGCATGTCACGTGCTGCGCACAGGCGTATATATAGCTTCTTCACCGCCATTAGGGCACCATTATTCATACATATATTTACACAAACACATACATTTCCACTTCCACAGCTTGTCCAGGCCGTGACAAAATAAGACACAAGCAGTAGTTCTGCACTTGATTAAAAGGTTACCTAAGCCTCCTAAGGAGTCTGGCTATCACGTTTACCTTAATAATCTCTTTGTTTCCACTCGCTTTGTTTAATATGCTCGCTCCCAGGGAGTTACAATTACTGGGACTTGCAGGACAACTGGTGGGGTTATTAAGAAGCTTCTTGACCTTCAAAAATCGGACAAAAAGGATATAATACCCTGGGGTGAAACGTATTCCAGGTATACACCTAATGGAGAAGTATGTTACGTTAGATGGAAAGATTAAGCCTTTGTTTTAATAATGTCTTCCTTTATGTCAGGTAACGAGCGTGTTTTACGGCTAAGGAAGAGGCCTAAGGAGACTTCTTCTAAAGCAAAGACTATACGAATACCCTTTGGTAATCAGGCTACAAAGGTGCTCTCAATTCCTGTAATTACGGACGGATATAATTATCATATGGGAGCAGTTAATGAGTTTGATCACCTGACTACCCAGAACGCTAGTTTACGGCATGTGGAACGGGGAGGGCACCAAGTACTAGAGTATTAGTTACTTCGTACGGTTCTAATTAATTACTATTTGCTTGCTTTATGTAGCGATGTACCAGAGCCTAGGGCTGTGAGCTTCAGAAGCCAGTCTGATTTCAGGGACTAATTAATTGGTGCTCTCTTAGCTAAAGGGAGGGAGAGTGAGGTGTGCCCAAAGAGAAGAATATCCCATATAAGCCAGGGAGCAGAGGAGGTGTTCCCTTGGTTACATGAGCAAGTAAAGCTTGGTAAATCTAGAGAGTATGTGAATTGTAAGGGATTGAGATTTGGGGATCGGCCTAAAAAACGGGTTGCACTAGCTGAAATTGCAGCCAATCACGGCAGGGAGAGCTCGATACACCAGTCTATATATGGCTGTAAGCAATGTAATATTCATTTATGTAGGAATCGTGGTTGTTTTGATATATTTCATAGAGAAAGGTAGAATTGAAGCAATTGAAGGGGGAAACCCAGCCCTCTGATTGGCCAGAATTAAGCGAAAATTGGTGCGCACGGACCAACCCAAGGCTGGCCGCAGCGGAACGGATAAGGATTATCCTTACGATTTTTTATCCCAACCTTGATTTTTTGGTGTTTTATCCTTATAATCGTGCACGCGATAGGCTAATTTACTGCTCTTATTAGGCCTTCAAGCATTAGTAAAACCACATTCTAAGCGTTAATCTCACTGCTCCAGGGCATTTACAGCCTATAACCCTCCCCTCACCGATCCCATGGCTCCCCAACAGCCTAAAAAGAGGCCTAGAGCGATGGCAGAGGCCGATCGACGTGCCGTACGGCGATGGAAGCAAGCAAATCCACCAGCGTAAGGTACAGCAAGCTGTAATTGACTTATCT